CAGTTTTGAACTGCTATTTGCTCAGAAATGTCTCCAGCTATCCAAAAATATAAATATCTAAAGAATCCATTGAGAATTAAGAGAATAATGGCCGATTTTCAATTTTCGTGCACGTTAAAGATTTGACACATTTCCGCTATGCGCACAAATTTCGAAATAGCTTTAAGCAGTAGCTGCACACCACTTTTCCGATAGAAAATCAAACTTCAAACCTCAGGAGTAGCGGAACAAAGGGATCGAAAATTGTTAACCGGTTCCAGTAGTATCGTACAGTAGTAGCCGAAAAAAGAGATCGAAAATCATAAAACGTCGTATATTTACGATTTGGAGCATTTTTAGAGGCCTATTTCTCGAAAAGTCAACATAATTCTTTTTTTGGAACTTCTTCTACAGAGAGGCCTATCGGTAGGGTTATACATAGAACGATTTTACAATAGTCCCAAATTTCAGGAGTAGCAGAACAAAGGGATCGAAAATTGAACACGGCACCTTTCATTGTTAAGCGAAACATAAGTGGGGGATACAATCTGTACGTTTTGTCAACGTATAGAGTGTATTCAAGAGTGCTTTTATCAGTGATGATATTTGAACTGATGGTTTCATCGGTACCGGAAGTGACATATGTTCGAGGATAACGGAGCACCGGTGAAACCCGTCATTACTGCATCGCAGTTCTAGTTTCAATTTAATTTTGCTTTCAAAAACAGGGGAAAACTTGTTTTGACTGCTTAGAGAGTTGAAGTACAGTAATGTTGTTACACTATCACTGGACACCTTAAAACTAAAGGCCGCAATTCCTAACACATGGTCTTGAAACTTTGCATACTTATTCCTTATACCCTAAGGATGTTTCCTATTGTTTTTAGTGCATAACCATCCCTCAGGGTCAGAGCCACACTTATTTTTTCTGTGTGTCTGTAAGTTTTGCCTACAGGCTGCAAATTCTTAATGGATCGTTTTGAAAACATTTCATATATACTCTTAAAAAAGATAGGTTGCCAGGCAACGAAACATACGCCCACAGCAGCTAAATCGACCGGGCAGTCAACAAGAGTTGTCGCATATTTTTACTTTTTTCGGTAATGAAACATTTATAATACATTAAAATCTGATTAGGTGTAACAATTCATTAAGTAATTATCAGAAAACCATTAGAATTTGTTTGTTTTTTATAAAGTTCTGAACCATGCTAATGTTTAGTATACAAATCTTTTAACATCGTGGATTTAGCTGTTCAAGTCATAAAGATTCATTGAAATGAATACTTGTTCGTCTCAAGACCTAAAACAATGTGTATAAATTTAAAGTCAATCGGATATTAACTTTGACCTCTAAAGCGTCCACAAGATTTTTTGAAGTGATCAAGGGCCATAACTCTGGCACTAATTATCGAGAATCGTTGAAAATCAATAGGCTTCTTCGTCTCATGACCTTAAACACTGTGTATAAATTTAAAGTCAATCGGATATTAACTTTGACCTCTATAGCGTCCACAAGATTTTTGAAGTGATCAAGGGCCATAACTCGGACAGTAATTATCGAAAATCGCTGAAAATCAATAGGCTTCTTCGTCTCATGACCTTAAACACTGTGTATAAATTTGAAGTTAATCGGACCGACGGACGGGCGGGGGCGACAACAATATACGAACACATTTCAATGTGGGCGTATAAAAAGTAGGGGATATTCAGAAACAATACAAAACAATACAATGCACTGCTGTTTTTATTAGAGCTAACCAGTGTATGTTAATAACAGGCTAACTGCCTACGCATGAACATAAACAGTTCATATGGGCTGCTTATCTGACGACCCCATTTCACTTGCAAAGAGATACACCATCAGACATTCAGCCATTCGTCGTGGCATGCTCCTAATCAACCATCCAATCACGATTTGGGGCAATCTGACCCACTCCTATTGCAGTGCTACTGCCAAATCTTGCAGTGTTGTCGGTTGACGTCGATGAACACGTCTCCCGATCAAATTAAACGTAACACACTAAAGCACAGATACGCTAAACAGTAAATGTTATGCAAGAACCGATAGGAAAGCAAACATGGATAGGATAAACCAGCACACGGCAGTTTTCATAAACCCTTCCATGAAGTGTCAAATTTGACAATGAACCCCTCCCCACATGAATTGCACTATTGCGTCTCCATGGCTATTTATCATATGGCAACCTGCATAGGTATTTGCATTTCAATATCACCTACTTTTTTTGAAGAGTATATATTCCTTATACTCAAAGGATGACTGCTATTATTTTTGGTGCATGCCCGACCCCCTGGGGCACAGTGACACCAGATTTTTGTCTAGTTTAGTTCACAGACTGCAATTCTGAACTTCCAAAGGACGGCGACCATTGATTTTGGTGCATGCCTGAACCCTGTCACGTTCTAGGATGATCTATTCGGAATTGCGTCCCCTAGGTGATAAAATTTTTAAAAAATGGGCATTGCTGTGCCCCTGGGGGTCAGGCATGCACTAAAAATGATACTGATTATCCTAAAGGTATAAGTATGAAAAGTTTTCAAGATATCAAAACACACAAAGAAAAAATAGGCATGGCTCTGCCCCTGGGGGTTGGTCATGCACCAAAAACGATAGCGATCATTCTTAGGGTATAAGGAATAAATATGCACAACTTCAAAACCATCTGTAAAGAATTGTTGCTTATAGGCGACAAACTGACATATACAAAAATTGAGCGTGGCTCTCTGCCCCTGGGGGTCGGGCATGCACCAAAAATAGGGAACGTCCGTAGGGTATAAGGAATAATTGGTATGCAAAGTTTCAAGAGTCTTTATTCTTATTCTATGTTAAGAGTTGATCTAAAATGACAAATATGTGGGGTCTAAATCTTTCAGAAATAATTTTAATCTGATCATCAAAACCCATTATTCGAATTTGTGAAGCTTATTAACCATTTTCTTTTCATTTGGGTGGCAAAATAAAATTAGAACAATACAATGTAGATCCAAAATCATTGCTTATTCGTAATCTACGCAAACATTTACTCTAGACATGTAGAGGGGTATAGGTCATTTGGATGTAATTTTAAAATCAACAAGAAAAGTCGACAATTTTGATAATAGCCATTAAAACTTCATCACCGCACAGATTTCAAGTGCCAATTAAAAATATAATATAAGCCATCAAATACACAAGATGGACTTTAATGTATGTTATAGTAGGGTAAATGAAGTTTCATTATCAACCTTTATCAGAATTTTAACCTCTGTCCCACATGGCCAAATTTGAAGGTGAAAATGGGTATATTTTGTATTTTTCAGTGTACATTGAATTTCGAGACTCAATATTTGGAGAAGTATATATCCCCATCGACTCAGAATCTTCTGTAAATTGATAAAAGACATATTAATATTAACTATGCAAATCTTGGAGTTTGTGTAGACAATAGTGACTTTGCCTGAGGCTGTGGAAATCCTGAAAATAAAAGTGAATGATTCATTTGTTCCACACTTTGCCACCTGGTGGCGTGAAAAGTTTGCATTGGGTGTGATGCTAAATTCATAATCCACACCAAAAGGTGTCTTACTTCTACTCCTATTAGAAATGTAAGTTTAAAGCATCCAAAAACCTGAAAAAAAATTACTGAATTTATGATCCATTTCCGTACCCTAATTTCAAATGGCCATATCTCATATATATTCCCACCATTGGTCCAGGTCTGATGCGTACCAGAATTGAATTCATCCAAGGATCAAATTCCTTAACACATATTTTAAGTTTCATCAAAATCGGACAAAAGAAAACTTTGTACATATTTCACATTTTCGTAAAAGGCAGGGGGTATAGATGGTCTCATGCACACCAAATTGAAGTCATCCAATTCCAAGACCTCCTGGAAGATAAAGCCATAAACTGACCATAAAGCAATTCCAACAACGGTCCGTAAACCAGAGGTAGTCGAAATAATGTCCCATATTCTGAAAAGATCGGTTGCCAGGCAACGAAACATATGCCCACAGCAGCTAAATTGTCCGGGCAGTCAACAAGAGTTGTTGCATATTTTCCTTTTGTCGGTAATGAAACATTTATAATACACTATTTAGAGTAACAACTCATTAAGTAATTATCAGAAAATCATTAGAATTTGTTTGGCCCATGCTAACGTTTAGTATACAAAACATTTAATACCATGGATTTAGCTGTTAACAAAAATCATTGAAAATCAATATACTTGTTCATCTCAAGACCTCAAACTCTGTGTATCAATATAATTTATAAAGTCAATCAGATGATAACTTTGGTCTCTAGAGAATCCACAAGATTTTTCAAAGTGATCAAGGGCCATAACACTGGCAGTAATTATCAGAAGTCACTGAAAATCAATAGGATTCATCGTCTCATGACCTTAAACACTGTGTATAAACTTAAAGTCAATCGGATATTAACTTTAGTCTCTAGAGTGTCCACAAGATATTTTGAAGTGATCAAGGGCCATAACTCTGACAGTAATTATCGGATATCGTTTAGCCTACATGTGTGCATTTGCATCTGGGTATCAGATAAACATTATACAAAGACAAATTCTTTATAATAATCAGCACGCTGCGGTGGCTTACAAACCAGGAGGTCTGGCCGAGAAAGTTTCCCAGGATTTTCATTAGCCCAGACGGTGCGCATAAAAGTAAGATGTTCAGAAAACATTAAACTTAAGAGTTCAAAAGGGTTAGGAGCCTTGAGTCAATGCAAATAAGCATAATCATGACTGCAAATTCTTAGCCGAATATCTTTGCACACTTATCAGAATAATCGACCTCGGTGCCAAAGATCGATTCCGGTCCACCTGTGACGTCACATGTGCTTCGGTGCCCACCGACACTATATATAGAGGGCCGCCGCACATCCTCATTTAAGCCTGAAGAGTTCGAATAAGAACGAAGCTAGTAGCTGCGAGATTTACAGATTTTTTACGAAGATGTTCAACGCAATTCCATTTCATTTCTATAATAATCAACAGAACTCACCTTTCTAGCTGATGTACAAAAGTTTTGACCGCTAATTGCTGAAAACCCAAAAAAAACAACATAGGCAGTGGCTTCCGAGGCCCCCTAATACTCACCAGCAACCGAGTCGTCAATGTTGGGTTTACTATTATGAAAAAGTCTTACAGAAAGAGTGTAGGTTCTTATAGAATTTGGTGGGATTCTATGGAATGACAAAGAATATTATTATTACTATAGGAACAAGCGGTTACTATGCAAGCAAGATACGCCCACATCCAATGCTCTCATCCAATGCTCAGAACCGGCCAACTCTACCCCATCACACGAAGAGGACTCGTGTACCACTCTACTGTGCGTTTATAATTTCCTACAGCGTTTTCAAACAAAGAGTTTTCTTAACTTTTTTGCCAAAACTATGGAGCTAAGGGACGTAAGTCTTTGCATGTAAACAAACAAGGGTTGACCTTTGGTTATAATCAAAATAGTTTTCAACACATTTTAGAGTTAATGATATAATTATTGACATGTTTTCCAATAATCTTAAAATGGGTGTTGAATAACACAAACAATTAATGACCTGTTTATGGTAGCAATGGTAAATATCTCCAAATATCTTGACAATTATACCACAATACACTGCTGGAAGCATAGTGTGTAGAACTGATCTCTAAGCTTTTACTAACTGACTTTGTGTTAAAATATCCTCAAATCACGCAGAATAAGTTAATTGTTCTTACTATTCATGGAAACTCGTGAGAATTATACCTGTTGTCAGTAGTCGCTTAAACCCATCAGTACTTGCACCGTACGTCAGTTTTCCTATAAATGGTCAGTAATAATCATAAGGTGAGTATTTAAGTTAACGGTAAGTATTCCTTACTTGTGTCAGTATATAAAAATAACGTGAGTAATTAAACTTACATCCCACTTCTACTCGTTGCCACTGGCAACCTTTGATAAAACTGTCCTGTTTAATTGCAATACATGCTTAAAAGTAACCGTGTATCAGAAATGTACAGAAAGAGTACTGTTCATTTCTGATACACGGATACTTTCATACCGTTTTAGATACCTATCAAGCAATAAGTAGCGGACGTTTAGTCCGACCCAGATCGCAATTGATAAAAATGGCTCTATACAATGTACATGAAACAACTAGTCAACATCATAGTAACAAAACAAAATGGGGGGAACTACAAAAACATATACAATGACATTAAAGTAACATAACAACATATTACAAAAATCAATTATTATACATATCAATTGGCATCTATTTCATAATTTGGTTTGATTTATATTAATATGCAAAATATATAAATTAGAATATTGAATAATTATTTTAATTAATTGTGATGATAGAAGGCGCAGTTCCCTTGCTGGACACTTCACAGGCATTGAAAAAAAGCAGGATGAAAAAAACGCCTAGAAAGTCATAAACTTTATTACAAATAAATTTCAACGGAAGAACCATCCGCCGATGCATACTTTCAACAGGAATGACCCACGTTTCGCATTTCCTTTACACTACATTTAATAATATCGCAGCCCTCTACGCCATAGACAAGTTGTTTTGACGATGTGGTCTAAACAAACACGTGATTGTTTTACGCTCAGAGTATCATAGCAAGACGCACGTGTAAATACTACTCAGGTCGTCTCTCCACTGCGAAATCATTCTACCATGAAATGTAACGTGAGGCTCAGAAAGGGATAAATGAAAGAGCAGAAAGTATTTGTCACTTTTCGGTTGAAACGACTCGATAATAAATACTATTTTTCACATTTTGCTTCACAATACTCAATAGAAATGTGATGTAAGTAACTTTTTAGCACCTTTCCTCGGTGTATCAGTGAATATCAGGAGAGTTTTGGTCGGGAGCCGCCTCGGCTGGGCCCCCCGACCAAAACTGTCCTGATATTCACCGATACACCTTGGAAAGTGTGCTAATAACTACTACAAACATTGAGTTAAACTGAACATATCACTAGTCAGGCTCGTGCGGTGAAATTGGCAAACACGTGACTAATTATAAGAAAGCGTTACTATTGGGGCTACTTTTCTCTATCTAGGTGAAACGGCTAGTTATCTTTGATCTGCGTGACTAACTGAAAACGACATCAGTAGAGCGTGAAATCAATAACTATATAAATCCAAATCATTCTTTGCGGTCATCCTCTGGTAATCTGTTAATTAAAACACCTGTTCAACTTGTGAGCTATGGTGAACGATCGTTTGGCTTCCAGGGTCCTTACTTGTGGAAAAAAATGAAAATGAAATGGGGTTTAACGTCCTACTGTTTTGCTCCGAACTGGGCTAATGAAGACGGGCATACGCCATACAGTGTGCTATGAGGGAAATTTTGCCCGGACAGCGGCACTACGGCCTACTCTTATATCGAATTCCAACTGTCAAGGGATCTTTTACGTGCACGCCAATGTGTACACGGGACCTCGGTTTTTTGTCTCATCCGAATGACTCGACAGCTGTCCTTGTCAGGCCCTCCGTCCTGCATCACTGACAAGGGGGAACCACGCCGGAAAATCTGGATGAACTTTCTCGGCCAATGCAGGGATCGAACACCCGACCTCCAGGCTAGCGAGCCAGCGCCTTACCCACTTAGCCACCGTGATCCCCTCCTTACTTGTGGAACAGCTTACCCTTGAGTGTCCGAAATTCACCGTCCTTGTCTACATTTAAAACATGTCTCAAAATGCATCTTTTTAATGAAGCATTTCAATAATTTTATTATATATACATCAAACGATGTTACAATAGAAATTATAGCTGTGATAATTATCTTTTATTTTTTTTTGTCTTTCTTGTATTTTACTAATTACCTTACTTTTAATTTAATATTTTTTTTATATTCTACATTTAAGAATTTTAAATGTACGTGCCTTTCCTATTGTATGTTGTACCTTACCTGTATATCCTTTTTATACGCCCACATTTTCATGTGGACGTATATTGTCGTCGGCCCTGTCCGTCCGTCCAAATGTCCGTCCGTCCACAATTGTTTGTGGACACTCTACAGGTCACAATTTTTATCCAATTTCAACGAAACTTGAAATATAGCTTTATCTCCCTAAGATATTTTGATATTGGCATGTATTGGACCGTAACTTCATGGATTATGGCCTCTTGATTGTCCGAAAAATCGCATTTTTAGCTTGTGGACCCTATAGAGGTCACAATTTTTATCTGATTTTGTTGAAATATGAAATGTAAGTTTATAATCCAAAGATCTTTGTCCCTTTCGATATTCGCGCATATCGGACCGTAACTTCCTGATTTATGGCCCCTGATTGTACGAAAAATCACGTTTTTTAGCTTGTGGATGGCTGAGATCGAATTTCGTGAAAATCGGACAAAACTGACGGACAAAATGGCCGCCCCTCAAACGCAAACAGTGTTAAAATATGGTATATCAAAGTTGTGGACCCTCTAGAGTTCACAATTTTGATTTGATTTTGATGAAACTTGAAATTCATGTTTATAACCCAAAGATCACGGTTCCTTTCGATATTTGCACATATCGGATCGTAACTTCCTGAATTATGGCCCTTGACTGTACGAAAAATCGCGTTTTTAGCTTGTGGTCCCTCTAGAGGTCACAATTATTATCCGCTTTAAAAAAAACTTGTGAATATATCACTGGTACAACGTAACGTAATGATGGTTGAGTTCGAATTTTGTGAAAATCGGTCCAAAACTTACGGACAAAATGGCCGCCCCTCGTATAACGCAAATGGTGTAAATATGTGGTATATCAAGGTTTTAGACCCTCTGGAGTCCACAATTTTTTTCCGATTTTGATGCAACCTTAAATTTATGCTTATATCACAAAGGTCTTGGTTCCTTTCGATATTCGCGCATATTGGATCGTAACTTCATGAATAATGTCCTTGATCGTATGGAAAATTGCGTTTTAAGCTTATGATCCCTCTAGAGTTAACAATTTGTATCCAATTCCAAAAAAAAACGTTTGAATATATCATCTTTACACCCTAATAATGGTTGATTTCGAATTTAATGAAATTCGGACCAAAACTGCTGGTCGAAATGACTGCCCCTCGTACGCTAATAGTGTAAAATAAATATGGTATATCAAGGTTGTGGACTCTCTAGAGGTCACAATTTTCACCTGATTTTGATGAAACTTGAAATGTATGTTTATGACCCAAAGATCTTGGTTCCTTTCGATTGTATGAAAAATCGCGTTTTTAGCTTGTGGTCCGTCAAGAGGTCACAATTATTATCTGATTTAAAACCAGCGGCTGCCAGGCAGGATACGCCCACAATTTGCAAGAGATGGATAGAGAACACGCTAAAAAAAACGTGATATTTGTACAATCAGGGGCAATAATCCAGGAAGTTATGGTCTGAAAGCGTAAATATCAAAAGGGACTGAGATCTTTGGGACATAAAGATATATTTTAAGTTTCATCAAAATCGGATAAAAATTGTGATCTCTAGAGGGTCCACAACCTTCATATTGCATACTTTTACACAATTGGTGTACAATTGGCAGTTTCATTTCAATTTTCTTGAAATTCGAATTCAACCTTCATTATATGGTGGAATGGTGATATATTTAAATGGTTTTTAAAAAACGGAAACAAAAATTGTGCAAGCTAGCTAAAAATGCGATTTTTCGAACAATCAGAGCCATAATCCAGGAAGTTACATTCGGATATGCGCAAGATCTTAGTGTGTAATGGTGATATATTCACATGTTTTTTTTAAATCGGATAAAAATTGCGACCTCTACAGGGACCACAAGCTAAAAATGCGATTTTTCGTACAATCAGGGTCCATAATTCAGGAAGTTACGATCCGATATGCGTGAATATCAAAAGGGTGTAACTCTGTATGTAATATTATAGGAGGCGCTAAAACGTCTGTTTAACAATAAAGTGGCAATGGAAAAGAGATACTAGATGATCATGACAAAACTCGGTACTTTTATTTTATTCAATCAGTATCAAATAATGTGTCGTTACGCGTGAAAACAATGATCAAGTTAGTCGTTTAATAAAACAAAAGATTAATTAA